ATGAGTAGCCAGTGATCGGATCCTTACGTTTGCGCAAAGATTTCTGGGATCGCCACAGGGCAAACATTGCAACTCGCCAGAAAGAAATGTATGGGATACACTAAATCTCCCTCCAAGGGTGTCCACAATAAGGGAAGTTGACTGCATGTCAATGCAAGTGATAGTATGTCTAAACTATCACAGCTAAAACTGAATATGAGAGTGATCTTCACAGTAATGAACACTATTCAAGCAGTGGTGAAAATTAAACCCCCCAAAAAATTCAGGCCTGTATGGGAGTTGAACCTATGTCATTGGTTCAACTTCCACTCAGGCCAGGTATTATTTTCACTATTGCATAGGTAGTGTTTATTACTGTGAAGATCACTCTCATATTCAGTTGTAGCTGTGACAGTTTACACATCATATCTATGCACTTAGACTTAACTTTGATCTTACACTTACATTTTCCAACCAGTATGTTTTTCATGCCTGCCAGATTTTCAACAGAATTTGACATAAAACTATGGGAAATCTTCAGTTTGTTGGTTGGGTCATTCATAACTTAATAGCCAGGCATTTGATCAGGAGAAGGGGTACTGCACATGAGTCACTTTTGAAGCAGTAACTTATATTGCACTGCAGTACATAGCAAGGTTTTGTAAAGCCAAAAGACATTTATTTGCTAACACAAACATTGCTATCAGTGACATTGTAAACACCTTTGCGGTGGAATAAATATTTCTTGACAAATTGTATTTAGCTGCCAAGGAAGGTGACTTTAAACCAGTTGAAGGGTCTCTTAATGACAACAGCAAGTAATATAATCTTATGAATATGAAAAAAAGCAGCCATTTCAGGAGCCACCAAATTTGCAAAAGCAATGATCATTGTGTACCCTTGGCTTTTTATGAAGTTCTGCTCACTTGAATAAAGGCAAATAGAGTTACAGTGTTACTTGAAATTCAAACTGTGGAATAATGAATGGAGTTTTTGAAGTCAAAACATGCAAATTGTGAGGCATTCGATCACTTCCTGAATTAGATAATTACATGTGTAAACACAATCATGATAGCTGATCTGCTTCCAGTATTTCTTGCCCATCAGGTGACCAAACTCTGGCTCAATGTTTGTTTACTAAATCTCATACATGTATGTAGAACATGCAAAAATCACTTGTTTCACATTATTCAAATGTTTTTAAGAGCTGTCACATACTGGTAACTGCTTTATGCAAAAGACTGATATATGATGTACAAGAGTAACAATCACAAAATTTACACGTACATATAGCAAGTTTTAGATTTACATTGGTAGAGGATGAGTAGGTAGATGTGTCAATAAATCAAAGGAAACTATTAATAAGTCATGGATACTTTATGTTTGAATGGGTTTTGAAGATAACTGAATTCCTCTTTATAAAATTGTACACTTTTACATGGAAAGATTCCTCTTTGACCCTTTGTTATGTAAGAAAGAGAGTACATAAACGGCACAGGTATAGGAATCCAAAACAAATTGTAAATTCATGTTAGCTCTTCAGCCTTTTAAAAGGTTAGGGTTGTAATTGTTTATTCTGATCTCTAAGGGAGATCTCTTAAGGAACGATGTTGAGTGCTTCAAGGAATGTCTAATGGCCTTTAAACACTGATCTTCTGTAAGTTTTGATTTTTTAAGAAATGTCATATCTTGACCATAATTATCTCATCTTATCAAGAAGATTTCTTATATGATCATAGTGTTTTTTCATTTCTTTTAGTTCATCCTCTTCTAAACGGGTTTCTTTTAAAGGTTCTAGAATCATAGATCATGGCATTGGAGGCAGGGGAAATTAAATCTACAAATTGTTTTACCACATTTTTTACAGGTCTTTGCATGTCTTTCTGTTTGTAGATTCACCAGTCCTCTCATTTCATCTGATTGTAATAAAGTATCTGTGACATCTGAAATTCTCTCCTCAACTTCACACCATCCATCATAACCATTGTCATTACAGCCAGTGACTAATTGTTGGTGTAACTATGATGTCTTTGAGTAACTAGGATCAGTTGAATGTATTTCAGCATTACCAGTGTTTGAGTGTGAATTACTGAGGAGTTCTTTCCATTCATTACTTTGATTTGCAAGAGCATCATAGGCTCTAGTATTAGGATTATCAAGAAGACAATTTGCCTGAACTTCTATATGCTCATTTTGAAACAATTTACTTGTTTTGACAAGGTATTTTGTTGCTTTTAACACTTTTCTTGGTCTAACATTCTGAAATTGATAATGATGCTTATAACTCAACTTTCATTTAAGTTTGATGGGGTAATCTGTGATTCACTGATTGGTCTTGGTAAAGTGCTAACTGTTGAATTTACATCAGCTGATACATTAACAACATTTCCATGAATAGATAATTGTCCACCATCTATGTGTATCTGCATAAATGGAATATGCAGAAAAATTAATCTTTCTTCTAAAGGTGTTCAGTTTAAACATTGTTGTTTCATAGGTAATCCCATTTTGTTTGCTTTAGAACAGACTGGTAGTTTCTCATTACTTAGGTTTGATTGGCAAGTAGAGCAAATCCATTTCGTATTATCTATAATAGCATTAGTAGTTATACATGCTTCAGGCAAAGTTGTGGAACATTTAGGATATTTGTTTGCTTCACACTTTCTAGCAGATGACCAATACCATGATTGATTACAGCAAATACATGCATGTTCAGGACCACACTTACTGCTATCATGAAAAGTTTGAGTGACTTTTGTCATTGTGAGCATCTCTTGTGTAGAATCTTGACGTTTAAATTCATGAACTTCCTCACCTGCTTTACAACTTGGTCTTTTAGTAGCTGGCTGAAGCAGATCATGGTCACATGGGTTCAACCCAGACATCAAGGATCTCTTTCTATTCTGTGCATTTTTGTTCACTTCTCATGCATGCTGAGGGTTACTGCCTGCCTATTCAGCTCTCTAATATGATCAGGATTTGATTCTTTGCATTTGTTGAATGCCCCCCTTTGAGATTCTCTTGTTTTTTCAATATTTTCTGATCTCTTTTCTTGCAGAGCTCTGTTTTGCTTATTTCTGAACTCATTATTGTTTTGGTTGTACACTGATCTATCATTAACTTTGCTAGCTGATTGTTATCAATTACATTGTTTTCCATTGTCTCTTCATTGAAAGGAACAGTTGAAACATAGTGTGTCATCAACATGTCCAATATTTATAACAGTTGTATCAGTTTCTGAACCAACTGGACTTATATTTGTAACCAATGCAAACCTGGATTAGATTCTATAACATGTACTATCAAGTTTAATGCTTCTGCAACTGCTTGTTTCATAAGTGCATCAGTCCATGTACCCTGGTGTGACATATTAGCTACATACCTTTACCATGAATGGTCTGGACTACTTTCGATGAATCTTTCTGGATCGTTTCTCATATATTGAACACCAGTGCTACAACCATTCATGTGATAGCTAGGTTCACCACACATCTAATGATACACAACTCTAAAGAAGCAATCACCTGCACCACTTATATCTACTATTCTCAAGCCATTTTGAGCTAATCGAGATTGTAACCGTTCATTAAGATTGTTTGGTTTATTTCCCTGAGTAAAAGGTCCCGGGTTTAACTCAATATCACCTGAGCCAAGTAACTTTGCCCTTGTAACAAAATTGTTGTGATTTCGTATCTTACACTTAATTGAGTAACATTGAACAACATGTACAAATTTATTATGAAAAACTGCAACTGGTACTTCACGTCTTTTTATGCTTTGTAGTTCTTGTTTTGAAAACATAATCAACAGCAAAATACAATCTTGAACCTTTTGCACAAGTGATTCCAACTGGTTTACTTCGACACATTGTGGTTTTAAGATAATTACGTTAATCAAACGATTAAATCGTTTTCAACGCTGATGAATGTGGTACACTACGCATAATATGAGACCTTACATACCTCCAAATTGCTTTACTCTTATTAAATAAGTTCAGAATTCTCTTCCACGGTGATCTCGATGGTTCTCTATCACGACGGACTTGTAATTTCCCTGTATTTTTTCTGTTACCATCAGATAATTCTTCTGACTGCGTTTCGTTCTGCTTGGCCACAAGAGTGTTTTGGTTGGATATCATGAAATGACAAGTTGTGCTACTGATGTTTATAATAGCTTTGTTTAACCTTACGTTTGATTAATACTTTTGGTGATATGAGTGCTCATAGGTTCCCTCATAAATTCGATCATAAGTTCGATCAGAGGTTCGCTTTTAAGATTCAATCGTAAAAGGCTCACTATTTATAAACCCCCTGTAGCCTTGGAGGATCGACGAGCAAACGCCTCAAGGAGTCAAAGACTCTTCGCATTCAGTGTCTACACTCATAGTCACACCTTAAGTCTTTCAAAAAGCTTTGACTCGCTTACATATGTGCTGAATGCGACGAGTATTAATCGATTTGACCCCGGACAAAAGTCGTTTTTACGCTTCTCGTATCCGCGACTGGAAAGGAAGTGACTGAAGCTGATTGGTCAGAGGGCAATGTAAGTTTGATATTTTGACATGAGAAACTGCAAAATAATAAGTCTGAGATGAAAATAGCACAGATTTACCTTACTGGAAAATAAGCTTGAGCCTCAATCAAGGGTTTAATTAAAGTGGAATACTGGCTGTCTCCTGCCGTCTGTAGGACCTTGCGCTGGCATCTGTTTGGCCTGCCAGCAGGCTCTTGTGTTTGCTTTTACCTTATGGCACAGCTGCTTATCACACAATCCCCAGCCACTTATGGAAAAAGTTATTAAAACAGCTGCTCAAGGAACTGCAATGTTGCTGTTGATTGTAATTTTTACTTTTTATGCCACAGGTGGGAAAAAAAGGAAACTAACACAAAATCAAGAAAAGGTGAAGTATTATCAACTAAGGCAGGAGGAAAAGAGACTGAAGTTGCAACAAATGTTAACAAGTTACTAAAAGTTAGGAAAAATAGGAGCAATCTTTTTTTGCAACAAACTTTATATCTGACATGCAAGACTTAGAAAGTGAGAGCAGTGATGATGACATGCCATTGATGGAGCGTTTAAGCCAGTCTTTAAGGAGTCATGGGGAATTGAGCTCATTTGTAAATAAAAGAAAGGCACCAGAGCAGGCCAAGGAGTCCACGCCTCAAGGAGACAAAATGCAAGTTGATCATTTGATTAGGCGCCATTCATTGAAAGGGCAAAGAAGGACTCATGCAAGTGTGAGTAGCTCGAGGGAAGCTATTTTAGGTGCGTCGGCTTACAAAAGTTTATTTACCATGCCTGAACACTCACGTCCAAGAAGGAAAGAAGCTTTAGAAACATCTGTAATTAAAGTGGCTGAGTGGCTCTCTGCAAATAATATGTCCTCAACTTCAGGTGCACACAACAGTGATAGTGATGAAGGTACCATTGATGTAGACGGTGAGATTGCAGGTGAGAAAGACTGTCATTTGACCCTTTACACCATAGCAGTAGTATTCATACTCTTCATACTTTGCTCTATAAATTTCCTTTGGTACTGACAAAGGAGAATTTACTTCAAAATTAAAGCTTCTAAGGTTGGCAATGGTTTCCTTTATTCTTATCATCTTGAGGAATGATTCTGCAGTCATACTGTAAGGACAAAAGTACATTGTAACCCAGGTAATTTAGTGTTAACAACTGAAAACGTAAATTAGCCACCGTAAAAGATAAAAAGCTGACGTTTCGAGCGTTATCCCTTCGTCAGAGCGATTGGAGGAATTGTGTGTTGTGTGTGGGTTTATATGTAGAAAGTGGAGCTGCACCATTGGTGGGAATATGGTGACGAGAAAACAGGATAAATTAGTTGAATGAAAAGCGCTCGTTGATTCCGTGGGGAGTAAGGGTGCCAATTTGGAAGATGAATTTTTGTTCTAGTGTTTTACGGCTTTTTCGAACCGCCTAGATGTAAGGAAAGGCTGCAGACTGCCATATGCTGTTTAGAATGATTAGGAAGATTAAAGTGTCTAGCGACTGGTTTGGATGCATCCTTGTCATTTCTTTCCACGTCGCGAGGTGTTCTCGGAATCGGTCACCTAGTCGTCTTCCTGTTTCGCCGATGTATAACTTATTGCAATAAGTGCAAGTTGTGCAGTAAATAACATTGGCGGAGGTACACGTTAAGTGATCAGTGATCTTAATGGATCTCTTGGGTCCCGATATTTTCTCTACGTTATGAATGAAAGAACAAATTTTGCATCGTGAGCGAGCGCATTTGAAAGTTCCAGATTGGTCATTGGTTTGAAATGAAAAAAAAAATGAAAAACTAAAAATTTGCCTACGTTTTTGTCACATTTGAATGAAATAAGTAGGGGTTGCGAAAAGATAGTGCCAGTCTCTAAATCGTTTTGGAGTAATTTAAAATTTTTAAAAATGATAGATTTAACTGCTTGGTTGTGAGGGTGAAATGTAAAAGTAAACGGAATGTGGTCAGTGTTTTCCTTCTCAGCCGTTTGTAGTGCTGACTGTCGATCAATTTGTTGGGCATGGTGGTGGCCCGCTTGAACGACAGAAACAGGATAGCCACGTTTATCGAAAAACTGGCACATTGCCTCTGATTTTTCGGAAAAATCAGAGTCGTCACTACATAAACGACGAAGTCTGAGAAACTCTGAAAAAGGATGGAGTTTTTGATGTGTGATGGATGTGAAGATGAATACAACAAGTAACTATGTGAATCTGTAGGTTTGTAGTACACACTAGTGCATAAAACCGTTGCCTTCAATTGAAATTTTGATGTCTAGAAAAGCCAAAGAAGTGTCGGAAATTTCCCAGGTATATTTAAGAGCAGGATGAAAGGAATTGACGGCAGTTCTAAGCTCCTCTTTGGTAGAGGAGGTAGCGCCGATGCAATCGTCAATGTAACGGCCGTAGAGTTCAGGTTTTAGGCCGTGGTGTTGACTAAAAAATTGATGTTCGATAAAACCTTCAAAAAGATTGGCGTAGCTGGGTCCCATTTTAGTATCCAGTTGTTAACACTAAATTACCTGCTATACTCTCCCACCGACGCAGCACCGCAGTTTCTTTAGAAACTTACCCCTTTATACATTGTAACCCTTTCTCTTTCAAGATGTCATTAGTAACTCTCCTTACCTGTCTGTTATATGATTATTATGATGTTACTTGGGAGAATTTAGTTTTGGATCAACTAATAATCCCCTAATTGATATTTTCCCTATTCTCATCAATTGTGTACTTGTACTCTATAGATATTGTGTGGAGAAATTCTTTTTTGGTCACTCATTATAAAATGAATTTTTGGTTAATTTGGAAGAGATTGCGGAAGGTTTGCTGTCAATCCTCTTCTTCTTCTTCTTCTTCTTTAAAACCGAAACCAAAGTTTATATAACAGCCAATCAGAGGAAAGAAAATACCCTGAAGAGCCAATGAGAACTCAAAGTAAAAAACAACCAAAATACCTAAAGCGCGGGAAAACGCGGGCTACCAAGTCGTGATTGGGTTTTTTTTTTTTTTTCGCAACTTATCGGTTGAGAAAGAGGCGCGAGTTTTCAGAAACAATCAGAGAGCAAAGTAAAGCAAAACCAATGCGATCCCGGATCACTTTCGACACTCAATTGAAAGTTGCTCAATGTTCTAGGATGAATTATCTGATCCGACCTTACACTTGTTCCAGAATTGACAATAATTATGGGAAGTGTTTTTTTTTTTACCAATCGGATGTGTCTTCTGTGTGTTAAAGGTGGTTCTGATGTTTCAGAGGAGAAAAGAGCCGACGAAGAACCAGACACAGCGGCCATGAAGACAGATGACGGTGAGGATCTGGATAATGATGATGACGATGAGGACGTAAGCTCTCTTAATGAAGTTGAAGACAATGGGAGCAGTGGTTGCCGCATGGAGGAAGTTTACAGCAAGGAAAAAGCCCCTACCGAGAAAATGGGGCGCTATCTTCGGAAAGATGTTGAGTTGAAAACCTTTCAAGTTAAAATCTATAAGCTGCCTGTTTCTGTGGGCAATGGAAGGCCAAGAGTCGTTGATGGGCTACAAAGTCCTATAAACAGGACGTCTCAGAGTGAAAATGAAACCGCTCAGCCGGATGAGGAAGAAGGTAAGTAACTACTGGTGTCTGATGATTCGGAACTTCGGATTTCCGATGGAAATTGCAAATTATCTCTTAAGCACGATAACAGTGATAAAAGTTGTTGAGCTCCAATATTTCCGTTAATTTGTGTATATACACGTACATAACTTTTGTTTTGGTAGAAAACGACACAAGTTCACCACTATATTTAACGCCAATAAAGAATTTGCCAGAAGGCCAGATAGTGTGGTTGAAAGAAAAGAACGCAGTCACTAAAACTACAGAGGAACAAGCGAAGAAAGAAGAAGGAAACAAAGATGTATTGGAAGTTAATTTTGTAGGTAATGAAACAGTGATTCAACAGCCCAAAAGATCAATGTCAAAAGATGTGGAACTGGAAATTGTCACACAGGATGTTGATGAAAACCAGTCTGAACACAAGGAAGAAAGAAACACGGTAAAAAAGAGAGGGGAAGAAGATGAAGATGACTTTCAGTGGAATGTTTGTCGAGAGAGTAGTAGTGATGGAGCTGTAGCTTCAAATGTAATGGTTGACGAAAATGTGGATCAGGAACAAGTTATAGAAGATTCCACTGAAAAGGAAGGCGACAAGAATGAAGAACAGGCCGGATTGAAAAGGTATGACAATCAATTGACGAATATGATCAATGGAGAGCGTGTAAACAGACACATGGTAGGCTCCAAACACATGCCCGATGGAGTGGAAGACCAAAATGTGGAAAATGGATTCGTTACTCAAAATTTAAGTGAAAAGGAATGTTATAGAGAATGTGACGAAATGAGCGTGGAAAATGTAGAACTTGAGGTTGACCCACAGAACCTTGTTGAACAGACGTCGAATGTTAAACATGGGAAAAGTAGAGATGAAAATAAGAATTTCTCTGATGAAACAGCTATGAAATCGTGTGAAGTATGCCATGAAGTAGTCTCGCGTAACGAATTGGGAGAAGAAAAAGTAGAACTTGGAGTTGTTCCACTGAACTCTGTTGAAAATAAGGAAAGAGGAAGTGAAGGATGTGAAGATATGTTAATTGAAGACGTCAATTCGTTTGTCAGCCATGAAACAGCTTGGGAGTGTACTAAACTTGGATTGGAAAATGAAAGAGAACGGAAAATCCTGGAAATTAATGACGATACATTAGTGAAAAATGTCGCTCGAGACGGTGTGGATGGTGACAATATGGTATCGAATAAAACGGTAGTAGAAGAAGTGGAAACAATAGATTCAAATGAAAATATAAGAGAAAACGAAACAAAAAGAAACGAAGGTGTACCAGTAAATATTGTTACTCGAGGTTTAAGTGATTTGGCACTGATATCAAGAAATGTAGCTAAAGAAAACGGGGAAGAAGAACTTTCAGCAAAAAAGATGAGCGATAAGAACGAGGGAAAACTGGAAATTAATGACGATCGATTGGTAATAAATGTTCATCAAGAATGTGTGGGCGACGAAGGAAACGACTCTGAGAATACCTTCGTGGAGGAAACTGTACGACTTGAAGAGCTCGCAAAGAAACCAAATGTAAGGAAAATCAAGCACAAAAAGAATGAATGTGAGTTAGTGAAAAATGCTGCTAGAAAATGCGTCGATGATGATGCATCAGTGGCAGCTGAAACAGTCGAAGGAGACGTGGAGTGTGCTTTGGTCACACAGGATTCTATTGCAAGTAGCAAACCAAGAAAAAGAAAGAGGAAAAGATTAGAATTGAATGAGGAGGGGCCCGTGGAAAACTTTGTTGAACAGTGTGTAAGTAATCGAGACATGGTTTCAACGAAAGCAGAGACAATTGATGGAGAACTTGACGTTACACTGGAGTCTGGAGGAGAAAAATCCGAAGACGTCTTAATAAGTGCAAATGGGTCGGTAAAGAAAACAAAGCACAAAAAGAAGCGGAAAGAAAGTAATGGATGCGAAGTAGCGAAAAATGCTGTTAGAAAATGCGTTGATGATGATGTATCAGTGGCAGGCGAGACAGTCGAAGGAGACATGGAGCGTGCTTTGGTCACACAGGATTCTATTGCAAATAGCAAACCAAGAAAAAGAAAGAGGAAAAGAGTAGAATTGAATGAGGAGGGGCCCGTGGAAAACTCTGTTGAACAGTGTGTAAGTGATCGAGACATGGTTTCAACGAAAGCAGAGACAATTGATGGAGAACTTGATGTTACACAGGAGTCTGGAGGAGAGAAATCCAAAGATGTCTTAGTACGTGTAAATGGGTTAGTAAATGCAATTGATGTAACAACAGCGTTCACGAATTCGATGTCAAAAAATATGGAACTTGAATTTGAGCAACAGCAACGTAATGAAAAGAAATCTAAACGCAAGAAGAAAAAGAAGAACGAAAACGAGAGAGTGAATGAAGATGGAGGCGAGTTTGTGAAAAATGGTCATCGAACCAGTTTTGATAATGGTTCAATAGCGTCAAAGGGAGTGGCGGAGGGAACTATGGCTCATGAACAAGTTACACAAGAATCGACTGGAAACAAAGTCGACAGGAATGAAAACCAGGCAAGATTGCAGGGAGGTGACGATATTTTGGAGAATAAAGTTAGACGAGAGTCCGTGAGTGTTAAAATGAAAGTCACAGAGAACATTTTGAACGCTAGTGCAGAAGACGGGAATTTGGAACTTGAATTTGTCACACAAAAGCCTAGTGAAGAGAGATCGAAACGGAAAAAAAGGAGATCAAAGAGTAAAGAAGACATATCGGTAAAGGGTGATATTAAAGAGGATTCGAGTGAAAAAGTCTCGGTTTCAAGGAAAATGATAAAAGAAATTGTGACACATGACATTACCAAGGAGACTTACATTGATGATGGATTTGAATTGAATGGGAAAACTGAGGAAGAACAGAGATCCAGTTCGGTAAATGTCTTTAAAACCCCCAAATCGTCAGCGGTGGATAGAGATGATTGTTGTGAAGATGAAAGAGAAGCGAAAGACAAAAAAAGGAAAGATAGGAAAAGGAAACGTTCTCACGGTAATGATGGAGAAGGAAATCATTTAGATCACTTAGAAAAAAAGAAAACAAGGAAAACCGAAGAAAAGAGGAGAAGTAGAGAAAAGAAAGGGAAAATAGAGACTGAAAGGATACCTGCACTTTTAAATCTTGAAAAAGCTGAATCGCTAGATGACAGTGGCTACAGTGAACACTCACCTACTGTGATAAAACAGAGTCATCCACGTTTGGCAGCAGAAGGCGAATCGGTGACGGAATCTACTGTATCCAAAATCAAGAAAGAAAAAATCAGCGTTGAGGCTCCAGCTGATCAAGGTGAGTTGGTGCAGTGAATAAAACTCTTAGTGGACGTGAATTTTACACTTTTGCTCGACAATACACGACATGGTTTGTGTCTTTTCTCGAAGGAGAAACTCTTCATGATTCAATCGTGAATGGTTTCACCCGGGGGTTTAAATAAAAGATAGTTACCAACGGTCTACCTCTGCCTAAAATACATCTTACCGCAGTACAGCCGCTCATTACACCATCGGCAGCCGCTTATGGACAAAGTTATTGAAACCTCTGTTTACCAGGGCTCTCTCCCCTCTCATTTGCTCTGCAGCAAGGATACATTTTTTTTCGGACACGAAAAGGATGTAAACGAGTAAATAGTTGTGAAACTTTGCAATGTTCAATTAGATGTTTTATTCTTGTTTAACAGGTCATGGAAAGAAAAAATCCAAGGCGTTGTTTTCTCTTTTGGACCTAGCATTAGATGGTGAGTATCAGCCAGTAGATAACTTCATCACTCATTGTTACATACGATGTCGGTCACCACAGTACTTTGATGATATAAGTAATAGCCCATCTTGGCGCCATAGAAATTATATTTTCTGGTGGAGAACTGTATCTGTGCTAAGGGACCTTTCATCATTTATCGTCGGGGGCGGGTGGGTGGTGGAAGATTTTTAGGAAAATCACATGGTTTTCAAGGGGGACGGAAAGGGGGGAGATCAGTCCTCGCTAATAGAGTTTAAAGAGGAAATTTTGTAGAAAATTGACTGATAATGAGGAGGAGGATCAGGTATTGAGGAGGGGTTTCATGTTTTCATGTTTTTATCTTCCAATATTTCTGAAGTGACTTGGCCCAGTTGTCCTCTTTCAGCTTCGCACATCCTCGATGTTTTATGGTAGAACTCTATTAACAAGTGAATTTCTCTCCTGTTATTTTAGCTGAAAAATACTTTCCTACCTTTGATTAAGTTAATTCTGAACGCAGACTTTTATAGATCAGGACTAAGGGTTTTTTGTTGGGCATTATCACCAAAGAGATATCTCCTAAAGATATCCATTCACCTAGCGGGCTTGGACTGTCCGCGGGAGAATGTTGATAATTTATGGATTCAAATATTTATTTATATAAATGGTCGTACCGCATTCCACAGATACTGCGGGCCCGAAGTACCCAAGCACCCCGTCCAACCGTCAAACGCCTGTGAGTGAGGGAAGATCATCAAGCCAAATAAGAAGACACTTTCGAGATAAGCCTAAAGGATTTACGCGTGTAGTTCAAAATCGGAAAATTTCTACACCGATTAGGACACCATCGGCTATGGCGCGCAGACCGCGGACCGAACCCAAAAAGAATTTTAACCGAGAAAAAGTAAAGAGCCTGGTACCCAGTAACGTCAGTTTTGATCAAGCCTTGGAGGATTACTTGTGGGAAACGTGACAAGATTGTGCTTCTTGGTTCACGAAACCCATCGGTTGGCGCAATCTTTATGGTGTAGGTGTCTTATTTATTTTTGGACTTCGTGGTAGATAAGCACCCAAATAACCCGAGCAACTTAATTCGTTGAAGAGAATATTTCAAAATTTCCTTTTCAGCTTATCTGCTTTTCATAGCTGATACAAGATGTTCCAGTGCATAATCCGAAGATCCATAATCCATGTGTATATAAGTGTCTAAAGATTTAAATATTGTCAGAAAGTCTTGAGATTCCTGCGAGAATACGTCTCACACCCCATTCACACCTAAGCTGAATCATGTTTTTTTTTCCAATATGTAGTTTTAAATTACTTTCCTCATAGAAGCTGCTGAAACCGATGTTTTTCGACCTCAAATTCAACACGTTGAAAATAAAGTTTGAGAATTCTTAGAAACCTATGGAAAACTCAGTTTTCAGTTCTTTGTCTCTAAGTTTCTTCAGTTAAACCTGGTTTAACTAAACATATTTTGCTGATGTGAACGGGGTGTTATTTCGGTCTCGTCTCTGACCATGTTTAGAGATTGCAAATAGTTGATTTTATGTCCAAAAGAACTGCTTTACTGTGTATAGTGACTTCAAATTTTGATAAAATTTCGGGTTGCGTAGAGAGAACTGTTAAGAACTGAAGGGCCTGTCTGCTTACAGTTGGATCTCGTGTCTTACTGTATAAACAGATTTATGTTCCCATAGAGGTTCTTACTATTTTTTATGTTACATGTTGTAGTTGTGTTCTTTGGAAATAAAAAGAAAATCACACTGAGGCTGAGGTTAATATGCTTATTCTCCATTCTTTTCTTCATATACTCCCCAATATGCTGACAAGAAGAATTATCTTTAGTTAACTCAGTCCTCATGTTGCCCTCTCCTTGAGTGATAGAATGACAGCGCAGTAAATAATGGGAAACTCTTCTTGTTGCATAGGTTCTTGTAAGACAGATAACATAGTTTGCATGAGGGAGATACACGTGTTTCTAAACTGAATATCGCTACACTCAAAAAATGCGAATGGATTGCATCTAGAAACCGGCAGGTGAATAAAATCTTTACAACTGAAATTGAAAAAGTGGTTCGTTTTACTTCACGATTCGAAAACACCGCTTCGGAAAAAATTAGAACTTTTAAACATACCTGTTCAATCAATCATCAGTTAGAATTCACCAATCACCAGTGGGAAAACAGACCAATCAAATGAAACAAAATTTCTTTGATGACCTTGAGTATACCGACGGATCGAAATGCACCAATCACAGATGGCGTCGTTTCAGAATTCACCAATCACCATGCGGGAAGACAGACCAATCAAATGACAAAATTTAGTATATAACTCGCGCGCTCTTATCTTAAAAGTTGCAGGAGTAAAGGGAGAAGAATCCTTTAGACACACTGAAGACTGAAGATGGCGCAACAAGAAAACAAAACTTTGGAGGTGAGTATGATAGTGTCAAAACAAGACTGTCGCGGCAGGCAAGCAGCTTTTTTTAATACGTTACAAATGTTTTTTTTTAGAACCCTACTGCCCATATCTGTGCTGAGTGCCAAGATGACATGGTTGACTATGAAAGAATTCTTGAAGCGCAAACCCAACAAAAAATTCACCGGACTCGCGTTTTTTTCAAGCTCCTAAAACTTGTAAAAGAGGAAAACCTGGAAACCGCAACTGAATTGGTTAAAGAATACATAAAAATCCAGAAGATTTATAACATGAATAATGTAAAGGGCATTAGAAACTTTTGTAAATAAAATACGAGTAAAAAGAGAAAAAAAGAATACATAAAAATCCAGAAGATTTATAACATGAATCATGTAAATGGCTTAGAAACTTTTGTAAATAAAATACGAGCAAAATTTATATTTGTGTCACGTCTTGTTAGTTGTAGATTTATTCGATGATGGCAAAAAGAAAGTATGATGATGTGGAGGAATAGGATAGTATCTCGGATGACCTATTAAATCAACATTATGATGAACTTGAAAAACAACAGTATGGTGGGGAAATATCTGACGATCAACTCAATGAATTGTATGATCAACTGGACCAACAACAATTGGATGCCCTCAATATAGACTTGGGTGTGGGTGTGGCGCTCTCTTTAACTTTGAATTTCAAAATGTTGGATTCCCAAAAAATTGGAAAAAAATTCAGCAAAAGAAAGGTTCATCTCATGACGCGTTCCATTTCACCTTACAATCGAATCAATTCGCCCACGCCCAACAATCAGCCACATTCAAAACGCTTTGAAAATTACATGACTACCATGGCCAATAAATTGAATTCAGGAGAATCGTTTAAATCCTCTTCTAAGTTTACCGCAGACCTTACCTTTATTCGAATGCCTAAAGGTGGTAAAAGTGGTAGACAAAAAGCTCTGGTGGGTCCATGGCAGAAATTTTAAAAAAGAAACATTCCGTGATTCAAATTACAAATTCAGACGAATTGTGTTGTGCAAGGGCCATTTGTGTCGCAAAAGCATGGATCCATAAAGATGAGGGGTATCGACAAAAAATCGATTACGAGAATGTAAAAAGATGTGAAGAATTGAAAACATTTCAAGACTTCCTAGCACCATACTACTAATTGAAAGTGATGGCAACTTCCTACCCTTACATGATGGTATTTGTAGGCCCAAAAGCACCCCATATTATCCGCCTCTTGCTCCACAAACACGATGACTCTGAGATTGGTCACTATGACACTTGCACATCTTACGCTGGTTTTCTAGAACGATCCTATTTTTGTGATCAGTGCAACAAGGGATTTGATCATAATGACTTCAGACTTCATCCATGTGAGGGTCGAAGATGTCATGCATGCAAACAAGTAGAATGTGGTGCAAAACCTGATTATGCCTTACGTGAAGTACCCTGTTATTCTTGTTGCCGAAAGTTTTACAGTCAGACGTGTTATGACATGCATAAAGAGAAAAAGATCTGCGACAGCCTTGTTCAATGCCCTATGTGTCTTAAGGAGTTTGAAACCTCAGCGTCAAAAGAACCTCACCAATGCTACTTTGACAAATGCTCCGTATACCATGAATATGTAAAACTTACAGAACACAACTGCTTTATACAACCTGTGGCAGCCAAAGAAGATCAAAGAAAGAAAAAAAACCAAAGCAACCCTGAAACGCCATAGAAAAAAGATCCCTTGGCCTCGGTGTATGAAGAACCTCCCATCTTCGTCTATGCTGATTTTGAATCTATGATAGCGGAAGATAACACACACATCCCTGTACTGGTCTGCGCCCTCACCTCTGAAGATGATACCTTCGAAACCTACTACAGGGAGAATTGCACGGCCAACTTTCTGAACTTTCTCACCCAGCTCAACGAGGACGAATATGGCAACCCACGCGAGGTGATATGCATTTTCCATAATTTAAAGGGGTACGATTCTATGTTTCTACAGCATCAGTTGGTAAAGGAAGAAAGAAAAATCGAGGACATCATCGCCATAGGTACTGAATGGTTATCTTTCAAAGTGGGTCAAATCACATTCAAAGATTCGTTCAGCTTCCTCCCGATGTCACTCTCAGCTTTTACCAGTACCTTTGGTCTCACGGAACTCAAGAAAGGTTTCTTTCCTCACCTGTTCCACACACCCGACCATCAAGACTATGTGGGAGCCCTGCCAGCAGCCTCCTATTACGACCCAGAAAGCATGTCCAATTCTAAAAAAGAAGAATTTCAAGTCTGGTATGAAGAACAAGTGAAAAAGCAAGACCCATTTGATCTCAAGCAAGAACTCATAGCCTACTGCCAATCAGATGTTTCCCTTCTTAAAGCCGGTTGTCTTAAATTTGTAAATGAATTTCAATCCACGTCAGGGTTTGATCCGATGGAAAAATGTGCCACGATGGCGTCAGCATGCAACAGATATTGGCGTAAAAAACATCTTTCCAAGGACACTGTGGCCGTTGAACCTGTAAGAGGATGGCGTGGGGCACAAGTCAATCAATCAGAAGTTGCATTAGAATGGTTGATGTGGCAGGAACATCAGCTTGGATCAGACAGCCCACGTATCCAACATGTTCGTAATGGTGGGAAGAAGTTGATACCCGCAGGGCCGAGGCATATTATGTCGATGGTTTTGATAGCCACACAAACACTGTGTATGAATTTCACGGCTGTTTGTTTCACGGGTGCAGAAGTTGTCATAAAGACCGCAAGAAAATGGCGTTTTCATTAGGCAGCTACACGATGGAAGCCTTGTGTCAGCAGACGGAAGACAAATGTCAGACACTCCGGCAGATGGGGTATAAAGTGGCTCAAATCTGGTAATGTCAATGGAAGGAGCAGAAAAAGGCCTCAAAGGAAATTCAAGATTTTCTCAATGAAATCAATCTTGTACCACAGCTCAATCCGAAAGATGCGTTCTTTGGAGGTCGAACCGTGGCGGCGTCGTTTTATTACAAGGCCAACACAGATGAAGGCGAGCAAATCATCCAAGACAAGAATGCCCCCTCGTTTATCTCCAAACCATGTTGTTAAATCGTCGTGGGTAGGCACTCCTTTAAAAAATTATATGCCATGGCGTTGCATGTCGTCAAACTTATTTTGCCAGGATCCATAACAGTAATGCACGCGGGGTGGTCTTTCGTCAAAGGGGTCTAAATTTTCTAAAAGCAGGTGATGGAGAAAGGTGGTTTTTCCACAACTTGTAGGGCCCACAATCAAAATATTGGAAGGGGATTTGAACGAAAATCCTGGTTCCACGCACTTGTACATGATTGCTAAAAGCGAGTTACACAAAAATGACACGATTTTATTTCATTCCTTTTATTTTTATAATGATGTCTTCTAACATGTCGCCTACTTTATCATCATTGCCTACGTAATCCTTTTTAGAAAACATGGAAAAAAACTCATCCATACTCTTGCGTCTTGCTTTACACATTAAATAAATGATGGCATAATTTCCACAACTTGCGGTTTTTACAGATTGTAATGCTCGATTATTTTTACGTACGTAAGGCCATCGGTTTAACCATACTATGAATAGTGTCAGAAATTCATAGGTGGTTAAATCTAAACCATAACTATCTAAAATTCCACAGCTATCGTGTTTGGTCCACACAGCTATCCAGTGTTCCCCAGGTTTGTCTGCAGGGTGGGTATTGACAGTGAAAGCTCTCAGTTTCACACGTTCAGGCGACTCGGGTAGTTCGTAATAGGCTAAAGCACTCACAAAGTACTTGCGGAGTTCTGGATCGCTATCCGCTAAAGCGTTGAGTTGATTCGTATTAAGCCACACAAACTCCATCACCAATGCACTTCCATGGTGGTTGCTCCTTTAATGCCATCAATTTCCATAGTGCTTTCATATTCAGCATAAACGATCACCGTTTTCTGACTTGCTTGCCCAGCACATTTAATG